CCCTCTTCCCTCTGTGATAGGACCGTCTGTTGCATGCTTCAATGTCTCTGAGTCTATTTAGTTCATCAGATTCTTTTGTTCATTAGCTTCTTCTTAAAGAAGACCCTTCAACATTTCATGTAGTGCTGGGTCTGGCGATGAGGAACTCCATTGGCTTTTCTTCCTTGTCTGAGAAGCTCTTTATCTGACCATCAGCTCTAAATGACAGCTTTGCTGGGTAGAGTGATGTTGGTTGTAGGTTCTTGCTTTTCATCACTTTGAATATTTCTTGCCACTCCCTTCTGGCCTGCAAGGTTTCTGTTGAGAAATCAGCAGACAGTCATATGGATGCTCCTTTACAGGTAACTAACTGTTCCTCTCGCTGCTTTTAAGATTCTTTGTCTTTAACCTTTGGCATTTGAATTATGATATGTCTTGCTATGGGCCTCTTTGGGTTCCTCTTGTTTGGGACTCTCTGTGCTTCCTGGATTTCTAAGTCTATTTCTTTCACCAGGTAGGGGAAGCTTCCTGTCATTATGTTTTCAAATAGGTTTCCAATTTCTTGCTCTCTTTCTTCACCTTCTGGCACCCCCATAATACAAATGCTGGGCTGCTTGAAGTTGTCCCAGAGACTCCTTACACTATCTTCATATTTCTGGATTCTTTTTTCTTTTTGCTCTCCTGGTTGGGTGTTTTTTGCCCCTTGAGTGTGTCACTCGTGGGTTTGGTAGGGTTATAATCCAGCGTGGTTGAGTCTGACCACCAGGTGCACAGTCTCTGTGGCCTCCTGAGAATTGCAGAGTCAGCCTCTGCCAATGCCTTGCCCAGGGCCACCCAGCATGAGCTACACAGCAAACAGTAGTTGGATGCTACTCGTGCTGGGCTTGGAGGTGTCCAGGAGAGGCCAAGCTATGAACCAATGCAGGCTGCCACTAGTGACAGGCCTGGGGCCACTTATCAAGACATATGGGGCATGCTGCTTGTTTGAGAGGCTTTAGGAAAGTTCTAAGCATGAGGCTTGAGAGGCCACTTGCATAGAAAAGCCACTGGAAATGGCCAGCATGAGCTTGCAGGTAGGGAGGGGTGGTGTCCCCAGGAATCACCAGGGTGGGGCCAAAGATGTGAGTCAGGTGCTGGAGATTCAAATATGGCACCTGCCTGCCAGCTCTGTGGAGGAGAGCTCACCAAAGGAGCAATGGCCTCTGCCAAGTCTTCTGTCTGGGAGAAAGTTGCCCCTTCACCTCTCACCCTGATTTCAGGCAAGTTAATTCCTCTCCAAACGTCCCAGGTTCCTTTCAAGCTGCTGCCTGGCACTGGGGTTCAGAGGTAGTGTGTCTGAGTGAGTCTATGTGCGGGCCCTTTAAGAGGGAAGTCTGGGACTCCTGAAGCCTCTCTGTCCCTCAGCCACAATACCTGCTGGTTTTTACAGCCTGAAGTTATGGGGAATTCTCTTCCCAGCCCTGGAACCCTGGGCCCGGGGGCCTGATGTGGGGCTGGGACCCCGCACTCCTCTGGGAAACCTCCACCGCTGAGATATCCCTCCCAGATTTAACCTGTGGCACTGGGTTTGGGCCCACAGCTGAGTCTCCGTGATTCAGCCCTGATCTGCCCATATTTCCATCCATCCTACAGGTCTCAGTGCTTCTTCAGTTCCTTCATTGTTGAACTTTGGTTCAGCTAGATTTCAGGAGATTCTGAGTGATGGCTGTTCTATATTTTAGTTGTAATTTTGATTTAGTTATGACAGGCGGCAGGTACAGTGGTTACCTTCGCTGCCATCTTGTTCCAAACTTGAACCAGAGAACATCTAAATGTACTGGGAGTTCTAGCAGATCTACCTAATTCATAGAAACAAACCCAAACAGGCAGCCAAAATGGGGAGACACAAAAAACAAGCCCCAAATGAAAGAATAAGAGAATTCTCCAGAAGAAGAGCTAAATGAAATGGAGATAAGCAATTTACCAGTTATAGAGTTCAGAATACTGATCATAAGGATGCTCAACAGCAAGAGAAAAGATATGGAAACTATGAAGGAAATTGAGAATGACTTAGCAGAAATAAACAATACACTAGAAGGAATAAACAGCAGATTAGAGAAAGCTGAGAACTGGATCAGCGAATTAGAAGATAGGGTAGAAACAATCAACCAGAGATCCAAGAAGAAAACAATTTAAAAAGGACAGTTTAAGTAAGCTGTGGGACAACATGAAATATAACAATATTCACATCATAGGAATACCAGAAGAGGAAGAGAATAAGCAAGAGATAGAGAACTTGTTTGAAAGAATAATGGCAGAAATCTTCACTAACCAAGTCAAGGAAAAGGTCACACAAGTTCAGGAGGCACAGAGAGTTCCAAGCAAGAAGAATCCAAAGAGGCCCACACCCAGACACATCATAATTAAAATGGTGAAAATTCAAGACAAACAGAGAATATGAAAGGCAGCAAGAAAAAAGCAATCTGTTACCTACAAAGGAGCTCCCATAAGGGTGTCAGCTGACTTCTCATCAGAAACTACAGGCCCGAAAGGAATGGCATGAAGTATTCAAGAAAATGAAAAGCAAGGATCTGAAGCCAAGACTACTCTATGC